ATAGCTGTGTTACACGACAGGCAAAAAATAGCCCACGGGAATATGTGCACCATTTCTCCCTCTATGTATTTATATGCACGGGTGTGCATGCTACGTGGGCCAGCACCCCCCACCATGACACACCCCCAAGTGGTGCTTGTTGGAAGAGTGCTTACCTCGTGAGAATTTATAAGAGTCCATGTCACAGCATCCAGCCTGGGTGGCAGTGAGGGCCGTTGCTTGTGGCCTCTGGGACAGCCCCATGTGCAGGGATCTGCACTGGGTCTCAGTGAATTGTGTACGGTAGATTTTTACTTTCTTGGTACTAAAGAGTAGCTTTTCTTAAAACATTCCTGTAATAATAATAATAATAATAATAATAAAAAAAGTAGAACTCAGCTCCCTTCCCATGTGTACACATATCCAAGGCACCATGAACTTTTTTTTTTTTTCCATTACAGCCAAGAGGAGCAGTAAGAGACGCAGTAGATACTGTTTGGCTTGATGTGGCCTCGGCGAGCCCTGCCTTTCCTTGCATGTACACAATATCCTCTCTCTTGAGTCCAGGCTCTCCCCAACCCTGTGGGCCTCTGAAGCTGAAGGCAAGGCAGTTGCCTCATCTTGTCCTCCCATCTTTGTGGTGCCATGCCATTCCATGGCCCGATTTCCACCCCTTATTTCCTGACGTCTGTTAGGACAGCCGGATCTGTTGCACAGCAGTGCATTGGTTCTTTGGTTTTTGTTTTCAGCAGGTGCAATCACTGTTGTCTTGTTGGTAGGATCTCGACTCAAGAGAGTTAAAGTTCAATAATAAAATGATTCCGTTCCCTTGAAGAACATGTCATGAGGTTGCCTCGGCATCCCCAGTGATTGTCACATCTTTGCCGAATCCAGATGGGCGAGCACAAGGCCCAGTGGAGGAATCCTTTCAGGAAATGATCTCAATTGAGCCAGTAGTTCAGTCCCTCTCCCGAAAGACTAGCCTTGACCTGGGAGATGAGCAGAGTCATCTTTTTCAGGCCATCTTTTTTTTTGTTTGGGGATGTCAAAGAAAAGTTGTCAGTAAAGCTACTGTTTTGCAGGCATCTGAAAAATTGAGCATGAGATGGAAAAAGCAGACAGTATATTTATAAATGCACACACAGGCCAGAATGAAAGTGTGACGAAAGCATCTCGAGTGCTAGAAGTGCAGTGTGTAGTCCTAGGTGAGAACACTTGGTGATTATAAGCAAGTTCCCTTCGGTCAGAGGCCTCCCTGCTGTCACTGTCACCATTTTCTTCCTGTCAGCATCCTCAAACATTCTGTAACATTCCCAGGTCCGAGAACAATGGCCAGATCAGTTCAAGTGTCTCAGGCAACAGAAACAAGGATTGAAATGGTGGTAGCTAAGGGTGCAGACACATCTTGAGTGCAATGTCTCCATCCTCTTGGTGGCCAGCCAGTGCTGGGAGCCCTTGCCCTCGAGTACCAGGTGTGACAATAATGGCGCCGCTGGCTTCGGTGTCCTGCAGACAGAGTAGCCTCCTTCCTTCACATGGTAGAAGGCAGTTGAGGATGTCAGGATATGAGAACAGGTAGCCAAGGACTGTGAGGTGTGTCTGAGCGACATGTGGGGCAGCTAAACAGAAGTCAGCCAAGCAGGGCTGTGTGTGCAGTCGTTTCCAAACTACCTCTCCCCCAAGAATGTGAGGCATTATCGCCTGGCTACAGCAGTGTGAGGCGGAGGTCTTATAACCCTTCCTGTTCCAAAGCCAGGAAAAGCAAGACAGAGAGGGGTGACTTGCTTATGGCCACCCAGCAAGTTGGAAGTGGTCAGAAACAAGATGTTTGCATCTTCGTCCATCACCGACCTGTGTGTATAAATGTGACCATGCACTTGCACGTAAAGGGCTGCTGTGTGCGGGTGCTCCTCAGGCCATCTGTATTCTGGTTAGGACATGAGAGTCTGTCCAGTGTATCTGAGTGAACCAGAACAGAAATCCACCTACATTTCAGGCTCCTCCACTGCAAAGAAAGGCCAGCCCCCAAGTCCACGCTGATTGTTGTGGGCACCCACAGACCAGGGCACCCTTTGAATTTTTGTTTGAAATGAACTATTTAGGTGTTCCAAAACCTTGGGCTCTCAATGTGTCAACTCCCTGGACGCCAGACTTGTGTGGGTGACCCTCCCGTCAGGGTTTATCCTTACAGTGGGGTTTGGATGCTTCCTTCTGGTGGGAAGCCTCCATACATCGAAGGCCAGCCCCTAGCACATGGTGTGTGTCAATTTCTCCCCTCAGTTTCCCTCACTCATCCCTATAAGTGACTGGCCGTGAGGAGCACAGAGGGTGGCAGTTCCGTCTCTTACTGGCTCAGTAAGCATAAATGGCCACATNCTGAGTTCCTGCAGTTTGTGTTTCTGCAGAGAGAAGGGGGTGTTCAGAGTCTTCTGGTGCTTTGTACTTCTGCTTTGGACTTCTTGTCACCTCCTAGGTTCCGTATCTGCCAGCACCCTACCTGCCATCTCTGCCCACTCCTGCCTCAGCGCGTGCGCACATGTGCGCACACACACTTCTCCCCATGCACTTACACAATCACATGCACAGAAACCCCACATGTGCACATACTCACCACACAGACACTCACATTCCCCACACACACACAGATGCATCCACAACACACATACTCCCCACACACACCGCTACACATAGTATATACATCACCTGCACACCCACACCTAAACAAACCCACAACATTACGTTCTCTCAGAAAAGTCTCTCTCTGCTGTGACTGTGTGGCCCTGACCCCCAGCGCCCAGCAGCCTCAGTGCCCATGGACTTGTAGGACTGTCCCCAAGGAAAGGTCATTTGTCTCAAGGGCACGTGGAAAGTCAGTTCCCTACACCTGGTACCTACATGGGCAGCGGGACAGAAGCCCGCCTAAGGGTTGTCTCCGGAGGTGTGGATCATTTTCTGCACTGGGGTAGGTCCCTTGTGGTCACCATGACCCATGCCCAGCTCCTTGTGACCCTGGCTAGCCTGCTGGGTGAGAGGCCTGCGAGGCCCAGTGCTGTGAGAGGCGCTGGGCGTAGGGGACAGAGGTTAGTGCAGCCCCTGCCCTCCAGGATATAGTCAGTGGGACAGCTGGGACAGGAAGGCCAAGGTCAGGACAGGAAGCCGAGGGAGTCGAGATGCCGCAGGAGCGGGATGGGGAGATGCGCGGGGGCTCAGGCTGCATCTCCCCACCCCCACCCCCCTCCAGCTCTTCCGACGCGTGGCATCGGCTCTGCCTGGAATGGAGAATGTCCAGGAGAAAAGCAAAGAAGGGAGTATCCTTTTCCTTTGATGAGTGAGTGAAAAACGCACCGGAGAAGCCATTGATCCATCTAGTTATTCACTGAGTATTTCAAACAGTGGATGAACACTGGTCTCTCCAGCCCAGCCTTCTGGGCTGATAGGTGTGGTGGGGGGGACCCTGTACAGGAAGGACGCTGAACTCCGAGTCTTTATGACCCGTCCCGCTGGATCCAGCTAAGCTACTTCCCACACAGTGTGGGGATACGAGAGGGATGTGTACGGCATGGCTGTAGGGTGCAGGGAGTGAGAAGTAGTGACGCTGCCCTTCTTGACCGTCAGTTTGTATCTCATGGGTACAAGGGGGCACGGGAGGGCCAGGGAAGGCGGTGACGGGGGGCGGGAGCTGGTGACCCTCATCCTTCCCCCCCAGGCCAAGCAAAGAGCCAAGTCCCTCGGTGTTTGCAGAGGGACAGAGGGACTGCACAGGGCAGCTGACGGGTGCACAGGGGCGTGACTGGGGTGGCTGCTTCTTTGTGAGAGTCGTCTTCCTTAGCCCAGCCCCCTGCAGTGATTGACATCAAGCTGGACAAACCCCAGGAGCCCCCAGCCAGCGAGGGCGGCTGCTCCTGCTAATGCAGCCTGACCTGCCGGCTTCCTCTGACACTACTCGCTTGTTGTGTTGCTTCCTATTGGTTAGCTTCCTAAAGGGGGGTGGGAAATGAGCTTATCAAGATGGGAGGATTTTTCTTTTCTCTCTGTCTCTAGGACTAGGGTGGGGTGGGGAGGGAGGCTGGGCATCAGGGATCACGTCACTCTTAACAGCCGTTACTTAAACAACTATTTTTTGGTTTGGTTGTAATATATTGTACTTTATTAAGATTGCCAAAAACTGTTAAAATTTAAAAAAAAGTTTAAATCATGTGTATACAACTTTTTGCCAGATAAAAATGTAGCCATTTTTATTTGAAAGATGTGCTTTTTTGTTTTTGTATATTTGTAAACTTATAGAGAACCTTTTCCACACACCTCCTCCTTCCTGTCCTCTTTGAACTGTCCGTCACCGCTGCCCGCCTCCCATCCCCAGCCCAATCAACTAAAACACTAACTAACTGGGCAACTTAATTAGGCTCCAATCCTGGGCCATCTGGCCCAGACCAATTAGGCCCCGCCAAACAGGCCCCACCTGGTTAAATCAAACACCGATTGAACAAAACAGCCTCTGAAGAGGCAGCTGTGACTCTATCCTTCCGTGGCCAGAGTGGGACATCAGCCGTGGCCCCACGCTGAAATGAAGGCCTTGTGGACTGCAGGGAGCCCAGCACCAGGCCCTGCTGGAACTATTGTACTTCTGCCTCTCCCTTCCGTTCCNCCCCCGCCACGGCTTCCAAGGTCAGCCAAGTCCAGCGTGCCCATTATCACTCTGCTCTGAGCCTCCGGAGTCAGGTCTAACTCTCAGGTGGGCCTTTAAAGCTGCGCGTCCACATAGCAAATCCTGACACAGCGGCCTTCCAGACGGGGTGACTTCTCCCCCTCAGAGGGTGGCTCAGTGATGCAAGGGGCTCTCCAGGGCCCCAGGGCAGCAGCTCTACAAACACAAGTGGACCTCCTGTGGAAGGCCCGGACGTACTGTCCGTGTGGCCTGTGCTCCTGCCCTCCTGCTCCTGGTCTCACGCCCCACCCCACCTTTACCCTCTCTTGCCAGGAGCTGGATCTCACTCTGTTTTATCCCCACTTTTCACCTCCAGACCTCAACTCCTTCCAACAGACCTCGAAGTGGATCGACGATGTCAGGACAGAGAGGGGCAGCGATGTTATCATCATGCTGGTGGGCAACAAGACAGACCTGGCTGACAAGAGGTAGGGGCAGGAGCTGGCGGGCCTGGGCCCGCCCTCCATACCTCTGCAGCTCCTCCTGGACAAGGAGCTCTGGGATGCGTGGGGGTGAGCACCCTGTCTGACCTGTCCCCATGCATCTGGGAAAGGTCCCCTGCGGGTGCTAGAGGCGTTGAAAGTGCCTGGTAGGCCCATGGCTGTCTCATCTCTGAAGCCCCACCTTGCACTGCCGGCAGACGCAGGGCAGGGCCACTCCTCTGTGTGTAGCCTGTATGGAGCCCTGTGCGTCTGGCTCAGCCTAGCAGTGCATGGTCTGGAACCTGGCCATGGCCACGGCACAGCTGCAGACCCCGCAGGCCCTAGGGTTCCCGCCAGCTTTTGCTCGCACTTTGTATCCCTGCCTCCAGTGAAATGTCCGTGCTCGTGTGGGTATGGGCATGAAGGCCCTGGTCCCCTGGTGTTAACCTCAGAATTTCCTGGCCCATTGCTGTGTCTGGGTGTGACGCTTTCAAGAGGCTGCCCCAGGGCACAGGGCTAACTTAGGTGCCACTTATATGCATTTGTCTGCCCATCTCAGGGGACCCAACTTGATCAAATAAAGCAACAGGTCGTGGGTTGTGGGCTTCTTGAAAAGTTCTCTGGCCATTTAAGGAATAATCTGAATTAGAGCCTACTTTATTAGAATCCTGTCCTTGAAGAAAACTGGGCTTAAAGCCTAGCACCTTCACCAAGTAGCTCTGTGACCTTGGGAAAGTCACTTTTAACTTCAGTGTCTTCATTTGAAAGATGGGACTGATGTTACCACCCCCTTTGCCCCCCCAGAGAGGCAGTATGTGGCTCAAAGCATTTCACAAACCTAAGCTCTGGAAGTGGTGACTATTGGGAAAGGTGGGTATAAGACAGCCCCACCCACCTGCCACAGGCATAGGGCCTGCTCCCACACTGGGAAAATACGGAAGGACTAGGGAAGGGGCTGGTGTCCCGCTGTGCCCTGTGTCCCTTCATCCTGGAGGGAGCCCTGCTATCAGAGCCTGTCCTCAGGGCTGACTGAGGGGCTTGGTTGGCTCCCCTGCCCTGCCGGGCGGTCCCCCTCATATCAGGCTGCTCCCACCTCATCTACCGAGGGCTGCTTCTCTACGCAACTGATTTCCCCCTTCCCCTCATCTCCAGGCAGATAACCATCGAGGAGGGGGAACAGCGCGCCAAAGAACTGAGCGTCATGTTCATTGAGACCAGTGCAAAGACCGGCTACAATGTGAAGCAGGTAGGATGCGCCTGGTACTGATCCCTGCCCCAGCTTGGCCTCGGGGCCCACTTGTGGCTTCCAACATGGTCAGCCATGGGCTCGGCCCTACCTTGTCCCAACATGCTAGTGACTGGTTTGGGGCAGACAACCAGAGTGCCCATAAACCCACCTAACTGGGAACAAGCTTGCCTTCAAGGGTGTCCGGAGAACATCACCATTGGCAGCTGTACAGCAACCAGTGGCGTGGCCCCTGTTGAGTGTCCAGCCACTAACTCTCAGGTGGCTGAGAGAAGCATTGTTTCCCTAGCGTCTTGCCTGACTGAGGATGGGGGTGCAGGGGTTATGCCTCGTGCTCAGCAAGTGCTCAGGTGGAGGGCCAGGCAGGCTTGGAGAAAGGAACCCGCCCATGGTACACTGGAGCTCTCAGAGGGGAGAGGCCTGGTGAACCAAACAGGTCAGAGGAGTGACAGAGGGGCAGGGGTAGTGCTGAGCCCCAGAGTAGGGGGCTTCTCCGGGGTCCACAGACCCCCAAGGCGTCCATGGATGGACTGAGCAGGTCAGTGGATTTGGGTTGGAAAACCCACAGCTTTATCTTCAGTGTCGTCTAACTGCTTTTTAGCGTTACCTTCCGCGATAAATGTAGACAAGACTCCGTAACAGCTGTTACGCTCCTGTGGCTTCATCACGTAGAGATCACAGTCATGTTCTTATCACCTTACAGTGTTGCTGTATCTTGAACTTGACAGGCATCACTACCTCAGTGTCACTGTGGTTATTAGACACACTGCCAGCTTTGGCTGCTTAACAANAAGATCCCAAATGATGCCAAGATTTTAGTGCCGATCCTCCCAGCTCTGCCACTGCTCGGTGACATCACACTGTGCTTTAACTTTCCTGGTCTGTTCTTTAATCTCCAGAATAAGGGACTGGGTGGTTTCTAAGGTATTCGTTTAGCCCCCACATTCTAGAATTGTGTGATTCCTTGACACTTGGTATCTTTGCATTAAGCAGGCTTCCAGGAGGATGCAACCACTTCCGCTCCTTTGTGGAATGAGCCTGGGGAGTGAATGCACATGTACATGCTTGCAGTCACCCCGGGGCCTGCAGACATGGGTGTTTCGTTCCTTGGGCTTCCCTTGGTTGTGGTTTTTGTAGTCCGAAGTTAACAGTACAGTCTTCCATGCAATTAAGCTTATTTTTAAATGTTATTTTTGTTTCAAAATACTTTATTTCTGCTTCTAGAACTATTATATGTTCATTGTAGAAAATATAGAAAAAAGAGAAAAGTATAATGAAGCAAGAAAGTCACCCAGACATGGGCACTGTAAAGGCTTCAGCGTGTTCTCTTCAGCGTCTCAGAAAATAGGAAAACTACTTATATCTCTACTTCAATTAATTAAATTGGAATCACACTATATACATGATTTTTTTTTAAAGACTTTTATTGGGGAATTGGGGGATGGGAACAGCGCTGGGGAATTGAGGGAAGGGGAACACACAAGTTGCTGTCCTTTGGTTCTTCAGTCTAGTTGTGAAGGACGTCGCTTCACTGGCCCAAGTTGGCACCATCATTGTGCTCTTCCCGGGTGAGGCAGATCAGTCACCGGCTTCTGGATGGCCTCTCACTGCGGCTGCTGGCTACACACGGTAGCCCATGGCAACCAACTGCAGCAGGGGCTGCAGCCTATGCCGTTGCCGGCGACTCATGGCAGCCCAGCTCCAGGTCGAGCCGCAGTTCAGCATCTCAGCTGCAGAGGGCAGTGTCACTGGCCCTCATATGTGGGATCTGAACCGGGGCCCTCTGGCGTCCCAAGCCAGCTCCCACCCATCGCGCCACTTGGCCGGCCCAAGAATGTGACTTTTAATGACTGCCAAGGATTCTCATCATGTGGGAGTACCGCATTGTACTTAACCAGGACACTGGACATTGGCTGTGCCTGTGTCTTCATTAGTATTAATTGCGCAGCAGTGACTCCATTTCACACAGCATCTTAGCTCCTGTCACTGACATTGGGTGCAGGTAACTCCCAGAGAGGTTGAGTGATCTGCCCAAGGCCACACAGCAAGTGAGTGGTAGGTCCTGGCCATCTGGCCACAAGGCCAACTATACACCCCCCCCACACACACACACACACACAGCTGCCTCTCCCCAGTGCCAGGACAGAGGGTGCACAGGCATGGCATAGGGGTGCTAGGGACCACTGGCTCCCAATATGTTGGTTTGTGTAGAAAAGAGCCCCTGGGGTTTTCCAGTGGGAGGCTGCTCTCGGTGGTTTGCAGCCCTGAGGAAAGCGATCTGCTCTCTGCCCCCACACAACAGCCAGCTGCTGTGCTTCCTGCTCCGTCCCTTCCCACCTGGCACTGGAGTTCAGGGCCAAGCGGGGAGGATGTGTGGGCTGGAGACAGGAGGGGCCCGCAGGCTCCAGCAGGGAGACTGACCACCCAGCTCCTGCTCCCCACTATGTGAGGGGGGCAGGAGATACGCATTCCAATGGGTTGGTTCCTGGGGGCGCCTTCTCACCAGGCTCTCACATCCCCTTCTCAAAGCACTTTTATATCACTCCCTAAAAACTCTATCCTCATCCTTATTTAGCTTATTTAGCTCAAACTGACTTCCTCTGAAAGGGNGGAACAGACGAGTTGCTGTCCTTTTGTTCTTCAGCCTAGTTGTGGAGGACATCACTTCACTGGCCCATGTTGGTATTATCATTGCGCTCTTTCCAGCTGAGGCAGTTCGGTCGCCGGCCACTGGGTGGCCACTCACGGTGGCTCACAGCAGCCCACTGCAGCGGGGGGCTGCAGCCTATGCTGTCGCTGGCGACTCACAGCAGCCCAGCTCCAGGTCAAGCTGTTTTTCACCATGTTAGCTGTAGAGGGCAAAGTGTCACTGGCCCATGTGGGATCCGAACCGGCAGCCCTGCTGCACAGAGCTGGTTCTCTCAAGCCAATTCTTAACCAATGAACCACTAGGCCAGTCCTATCTCCATTTGAGAGGTTGTCATTTTTCCAGGATACTCCCAATCTAGTGTTCTTCCAAGCCCACCCATGGCATTCAAACTCTGCCAAAGCACTGGCAGAGGTTACTGAAAACAGACTGGGGCCTTCTGGGCACGTGACCCCACCCAGGTCCACTTGGACTGGGTGCCGCATGCCAGATCCCCTGGGGTGGCCACGGTCTGCCCTGGGAGGCATTGACAGGGAGCCTAGATTTGCTGGAAGGGATCTGTTCCACTCCTCCCCCCCCCAAGGGCCTCTGAAGGCTCCTGGTCACCCCAGCTTTCTGGCATCACCAGGGCTATGTGCATATTGCAGATCTGGGTTTTACTTTCAAAGCAGAAGTGACTTCCTCCCCACCCCAAACTCATACCCACAGAAGCATAAGATACCCACTCCTGCCCCATACACATACTTACACATGCAAATAAATGCATAGTTGCATGCACGTGGGTGTATCTCCACTCATCCATGTGTTCACTCACATGTACTCATATCCATGTTCCCATCGGTACATACGCACACACCTTGTGTGGCCTGTGCTGACCTTTGAGAGGTAGTGTAGGTCATGGCAGGTCACAGGAAATCAGCAAGGTTTTTGGGGCCTTTGGTAGGAGGGTGTACCTTTGAGAGGTAGTGTAGGTCATGGCAGGTCACAGGAAATCAGCAAGGTTTTTGGGGCCTTTGGTAGGAGGGTGTAGCCTACCTGGGTAGCTAGTTGTTCTTTTTGTCTGGTGCCCCCATATTATCTTTTTGGATAATGTCTATTGATCTGTTTTCAACTTCACTGTTTCATCTATCATCTATCTGCTGTTAAGCCCATGATTAAAGGAACAGCAGATAGATGATAGATGAAACAGTGTTTAAGTTCCTTTCAGATTTGTTTGTCTGTTTTGCTTTCAGTCTTAGGTAAGATGTTTGGGGTCTGCTTGGGTCAGTCAGAGATTTGGTCAGCATTGATATGCAGAATTTACAGTGCCCTCTCCATGGCTTTCTCATTTACAGGACTTTAGACGCTTTCTGGCTTTTGTGGTAGCTTTGCACTCTGCCCTCTCATTTATCAACCAGTAAGACTGTGGGTTGCTGCCAAGTTCTAGCCACCCCTCAGCGCCAGCAGGGGCTGCCCTCAGATGAATAAACAGTCATAAAAACAGGAGCCTCACTCAGGGCTGTTCCCTCTTTTAAGTGTTGACTTCCCTCCAGATTCTACCCGGTGTTTGGTCACTTTCTGGTGCCTTCAGGTAGTTGTTTATTGTATTTTGTTCAGAGTTTATAATAGTAATAATCTGAAAAAGGGTTGGTCTGGTAGGAACTCTGCCATTACAAAAATCAGAACTTGCCCAGTCCCTGCTTCCGGGATTTTCTCCCCACACTTCCCATCCCCCATTACTCCCCCATCTTCACCTGCTAGAAAGTTAGCATTCACAAAAGCACTTGCACAGCTGCTCCACCTTTCCTCAAGAAATCCATCAGAAGCAAGGTCCTGCTTGTCTTAGAGCCCCTCTAACCACACGAGTCCTTTCCATCTGTCATGGCCCACATGTCTGTGTGCTAATCTTAGCTCCTCCACAAGGTTGGAAGTTCAAGGCTGAATCTTGATCTCTGGATGGTGTTAACCAGGTGGAAGAGCATTCCAGGGGAGGGAACAGCTTCTCAGAGGCAGGGACCAGGGTTTGTTCTGCTCTATATCTAACACATAGTAAGCACTCAAGAATGAATAAGTGAATGAGTATTAATTACTGTTAGCCAGAAAGGAGCGGCCCAGGGAAGACCATGACCATCTTCTCCCTGCAGACCTGGCGTTTCTGGGAGAAGTGGGCTCCAGCTGGTAGCAGTGTGGGGACAACTGCTTGTGCCTTGTGTCTGGAAAGATAGACGATGCTGAAGAGCTGGAGATTTTCTGGTACTTAAGGCCCAGCCAAGAACTGTCTTACAAGTTCTTTTTTCTGTTCTGTTCTTAGAGAGCTGACTTCTGTTGTTAAAATGCAAATGAACCCTCTTAAGTGGACTCTGCTGAGCTATTCTATAGCTAATGACCAGAAGACTGACAATAGGAAGCCAGACAGGATGTGATCCCCATCAAGCTTAATGACAGCGTCAAGCCACAGTGGCAGCTTCAGAAATGAGGGGGTCTCAGGAAGCAGAGGGAGTACAGTCCAATAGTCAGGAGCAGGGACGTTGCAGTCGGGGAGACCTGGGTTCAAACCCTGCCTCTGCCCACACCACTGTATGACCTTGGTCCTGCAGGAGCCTTGGTTTCTTCATCCGCGAGCAGCACCTCTTGTATGCATGGACACCTCCCTCTGTCTCACCCCAGGCAGGGGATCTAGCCCTCCTCCCGGATGCCAGGGCCTCCTCAGACTGGTCACAGCAGGAGCTCAGAGTCTTATCTGACTGTCTGGAATTCTGATTTCCAGACCGACACCCGGGAGATGGTGATTCTGTCTGTCTGAGCGGAACTCAGGAATCTGCAGTTTCACAAGTGCCTGATGGGATGCTGAAGCAAGTGGTCCA